GACTGGTGACATAGAATACAGTATATAGAGTACTGTCAGCTGGTGACATAGAGTACAGTATACAGTAGGAGTGTGTGTGTGTGTGTGTGTATGTGTGTGATTATGGGTGAGCACATGTATGTGCGTATGTGTGTGTGTGTGTGTGTATGCATGTTTGTGTGTGTGTGTGTGTGTGTGTGTGTGTGTGTGTGTGTGTGTGTGTGTACATGTGTACGTGTGTGTGTGCGTGTTGAAACACCAAATCAATGTGCCAGGATCTAGACAATAAAGATGTATCTTATCTTACCTTACCTTACCTAATCTGATCTGATCTGATCTTCTCTTACTTTTCTTACCTTACCTTACCTTACCTTACCTTACCTTACCTTACCTTACCTTACCTTATCTTACCTTCCCTTCCCTTCCCTTACTTTACCTTATCTTACCTTACCTTACCTTATCTTGCCTCATCTCATCTTACCTTACCTTGCCTTATCTTACCTTACCTTACCTTACCTTACCTTATCTTACCTTACTTTATCTTATCTTGCCTCATCTAATCTTACCTTACCTTATCTTATCTTATCTTACCTTACCTTACTTTATCTTACCGTACCTTATCTTATCTTATCTTACCTTACCTTACCTTACCTTAGCTTACCTTACCTTATCTTACCTTACCTTACCTTACCTTACCTTATCTTATCTTACCTTACCTTACCTTACCTTACCTTACCTTACCTTACCTTACCTTACCTTACCTTATCTTACCTTACCTTACCTTACCTTATCTTACCTTACCTTACCGTATCTTACCTTATCTTATCTTACCTTATCTTACCTTATCTTATACAGTCTACACTCAGTGCTGAGAGCTGCCAAGATGTCGTCTGTCACTGCCAAAGACTGGAGCACAGTGCACGAGCCTAGCGGGGATCTCTTCCCTCCAATCACCGTGAGATTGTAGAATTTTAGTTGGTTGGTAATAATAATAATAATAATAATAACAATAATAATAATAATGATAATAATAATAATAATAATAATATAATATTGTAATAACTGCATCTATATATATATAGCGCATATCTACACTTTACTACATGCCCTATGTTTTACAACTATTACAAGTCATCAGTTTGAGAAGTATCAAGGCAAAGTGAGAAGAGGCTCACCGTCGTCATATTTCTCCTGTACTTCCCTCATGGTGGTGACACGCCCGCAGCGCCGGAACAGTCCTTTCACCTCATCAGCTGTGATTTTGAAAAGAAAAAAACACCAAAAAAACCCAATGCATCATCGATAAAATCTGGGACCTAAATTACAGCAAAGTCTTCTCAATAACAACAAAATTTCCACTAGAATAGAATGCCATGCAAGAATGCACTAGGTCTATGACATCTGGGAGTGACGAGTTCATTCCTTATGCTATTTATGACTCTTTACAGCCCAGACTGGCCCCCGCAATTCCCCAAACCCCCTCACCCAACCAACCTCCACCGAAACATTTAGTCCTTTTCAGGCCCAAAACATTTGTAACAGGGCCAATGACAGTCCCAAGCAGAAGAAACATGTACATTAGTATAAATTGTAGTCAACTGGTAGACCGTTCAAGAGGGCAGGCACCAATAATATCTTTTTACCCTACCAGGGTTGACGGCAGATAAAATGGCTGTTAGTTTCATTCTGAGTTGCAATTTTGGTTTGTTTATCACATTTTTTAAAATTGTGCCAAACATTTCAGCTCCTTCACAAATGAACTCTACTCCATATCTATATTCTACTTCCTGAAAATGTATAGGTTTAACTTGCTTGTTTTGCCTGCTCTCAAACATTTTTCAACAAGATCTTATGAAATCATACAATTTCCCCTTTCATCACAAGGTATATGTTAGCGACCCTCGGAAGGTTACAACCAGTAACTCACCACCGGAGGCCTTGAGGAACTCCACTGTGTCCTGGACAGGCAATGGAATGATTCTGCCAGTGTTCTGCTTGATTCTGCAATACAACAAAGACAAAAATATAATACAGTCAATGACACGGTGAGAAATGAGCCACTGTTGTCTACAACCTGTTGGCACACATCTCTCTCTCTCTCTCTCTCTCTCTCTCTCTTTCTCTCTCTCTCTCTCTCTCTCTGTATCTCTCTCTGTATCTCTCTCTCTCTCTGTATCTCTCTCTCTCTCTCTCTCTCTGTCTCTCTCTCTCTGTATCTCTCTCTCTCTCTCTGTATCTCTCTGTATCTCTCTTTCTGTATCTCTCTCTCCATCTCTCTCTTCATCTCTCTCTAATCTCTATCTATTTATCTCTAGCTCTCTCTCTCTCTCTCTCTCTCTCTCTCTCTCTTGCTCTCTCTCTCTCCATCTCTCTCTCTCTCTGTCTCTCTCTCTCTCCATCTCTCACTGTCAACAAGTCTATCCTAACAAGTACTCACTCTTGTAGAGAAAGGCCAAACTGCTGGGCTTTCTTGGGCTCCGGCCCTGAGCTCCCGTCATAAGGGTATGGCAGTTTGTTCTTGGCAACCTTCTGGGCATCAAATCTGAAACAGAGAAAGTTCAGTTTAAGTTAGGAGTTTTAAGGCAATCGCAACACAAATAGTTCAATAATTATTGCTGAGGATTAGAGGAGTAACTAGGGAGTATATTATGAGGGAATTGAACCTTAACATAATACACAGACATCAGTAACAAAGTTTAGATTTAGAAAAAGTCTTATGTCTCTTGCAAAACAAATAGGTCATGTACTTGCCGAAAATTAGAGGTGTTACTAGAGAGTAATATATAAAGAAATGAAAGAGGAGAGACAAGGACGATAAATGTGTGGTTTGATAGGAAAGCAGGAGAAAACCAAAGCGGAGCACCCCCCACCAATCAAACACATTGTACAAGTCTTATTCTACCATTGACAAAATCTTAGATCATTTAGGAGGCATGCAGACTTCGACCCTGACTGTTCGGTCCAACTTGGGCAGTGTGGTATTCAACGTCCTTGCAGAAAAACCGATTTACTCGCTGACAAATTCTTCCCAAAAGGAATCAAACGCAGGTCTTCAGCGAGCGTGCGACGGTGAGTAGCCGCTGCACCACAGGTGCTGATACAGAAGATGTGAACGGAAGCGGGTATGCGCCTAACAGGCTGCAATTCAGGAAACTACTGTGTTCCGCAAGACCACCAAAAGACATCCTTTCCACTGACCGTGCCTTC